AATGATTCTGAATTCCATATTTGGCGTCAATGATCTGCTTCCAGTAACCTGCTTCAGTTTGTCCATACCTCCATAGTCATTTCATTAGCATACATTTGTTGTGAAGCCTAAGATTCCTGATACCCAATCCCCCATAAGACTTTGGTTAAGTTATTTTGGGCCACCTAACAAGTGAAAATTTGTGAGCCTCACTGTTTCCTTCCCATAAAAACCTTCTTCTTAGACGGTCTAGTTGTTTCAGGACTGAGCTTGGCATAGAAAACAGAGACATGTAATAAGATGGTATGTTGTCAAGGACACTATTGATCAGTGTGAGTCTGTCCCCCATCGAGAGATATTGCATTTGCCAGGTTGCTAGTCTTCTTTTAACTTTTTCAATGACTTCATTCCAAATTCTAGTGGATTTGAATTTGGCTCCCAAGGGGAGTCCTAGATAAGTTGTGGGGAAGGAGCCAGTTTTGCAGCTAAATTTTTCAGCTAAATTCTCCAAATTTTGAACCTCATTCACTGGATAAATAATGCTTTTAAGCATATTGATGTGTATCCCGGACAATACTTCAAAAATAAGTAAGATGGGGTTGAGATTGATTACTTGTGACCTTTTGCACCACAGAAGATCAATGTGTCATCTGCATATAGCAGGTGGGATACAGTGACTGAATTTGCAGGATTTCTCCCCACCTGAAAACCTTGTATCCATTGAAGCTCCTTTGCCCTTCCTAGACTATGTGAGAGACCCTCCATTGTCAATAAAAAGAGAAAATGAGAGAGTGGATCTCCTTGTCTGAGGCCTTTTTGAAGAGAAAAGAAACCTATAGGACTTCTGTTAACCAACACAGAATACTTCACAGTTGATATGCAGAATTTTATCCACCTTATCCACCTATCTCCAAATCCCATCTTCTTTAAGATGTTGGTGAGATATTCCCAACTCAGTTGATCAAAAGCTTTTTCAATTTCTAATTTGCACAGCAAACATGTTTCACCACTTTTGATTCTCCAATCCAAGACCTCATTGGAAATCAGGGAGGTATCTGTGATCTGCCTATTTTTTATAAATGCACTTTGTTGGCTAGAGACCAACTTGGCAATGACCTTTTTTAATATTTCAGCCAAAATTTTTGCAGCTATCTTGTAAACACTCCCTATTAAACTGATAGGTATATAGTCCCTTAGTTCTATTGCTCCTTTCTTTTTGGGGATAAGAGCAATAAATGTAGTATTGCAGGATTTGACCATATGACAACTATGATAGAAGTGATTGAGAGCCTCCATGATATATGTTTTAATAAAGTCCCATGCCTTTTGAAAGAAGGCCATAGTGAACCCATCGGGGCATGGTGCTTTATCAGGAGCACAAGACTTTAAGGCTGCTAAGACTTCTGATTCCTCAAAAGATGATTCTAGATCAACACATTCATCTGCAGATAATGAGGGTAACCCCTCAAACTCTGTTGTAGGTCTCCACGGTTCCCTTTCCCTGTACAAAACCTGATAATAATCTAGTATTTCCTGTTTGATCTACTCCTTATCTTCAACTTAATTTTCTCCCACTTTGATCCCATCAATGCAATTGTTCCTCCTTTGAGAATTAGCAATTTTTTGAAATTACTTCGTGTTTCTGTCTCCCTCTTTTAGCCATAAGAATCTGGATTTTTGTCTCCAAGAGACTTCTTCAGCTAGTGCAATCTGTTGAAGTTCCAATTTGAGATTGAAGGTCCTCAACTTTTCCTCTGGAGAATGTATCCTATGTTCAGCCACTTGATCTAAGAGTCTTAGCTCATCAATTGCCTTCTTTCTTTTGTCTTCCAACTTGCCATGCACCTTTCTATTCTAGGTTGTTATGTCCTTCTTTAAGGATCTCAACTTTTGGATGAGAATATAGTTTGGGGAGCTAATTATTGTATAGGATTGCCACCATTCCTTTATCATGTCCATAAATCCTTCAGTTTGTAGCCACATATTTTCAAACTTGAAGTAGGATGGTGTCGGTTCCCAGTCTCCACTTTCCAGGAGGATTGGTTTGTGGTCTAAAATTACCTTGGGCATTGCTAGCTATTTCACTGCTTTAAATGAATCACCCGATTCTGTTGAATGCAAAAATCTGTCAATTCTGGACGCTTGTGTAAAGTTCTCCCCTCTTGACCATGTGTATTGTGCTCCATTAAGAGGAGGATCAATCAAGCCCAGCTCCAATATAAAATTTGAGAAGTCGATCATTGCTTTAGATCTTCTGGAGAAATTAAGTATTTCACTTTCATATCTGCATGTATTGAAATCTCCGCTGATTACCCATTGGTCTGACCATAAACCACCGATTGCTGCCAATTCATGCCAAAATTCCTTCCTTTCTGGGTTGGTATGAGGGCCATAGACTCCTCTGTAAGCCCATTTGAAATCTTCAGTTAAACTCTCAAATCTGCAGGTTATTGAGAAATCTCCTGATTGAGTATCAACACAATGCCACAACCTTCTATCCCATATAATAATGACCCCCATTTATTTCCCCAAGCCTTGAGTTCAACCCATGATACCCATTTGTTGCCCCTTATTTGCATGGACAGAGAATTGTTCCAATCCTTAATTTTAGTTTCCTAAATACAAAGGATGTCTACTCTCCATTTACGAATCAGAGACTCCAAAGTACTTCTTTTATTCTTATCATTTAGTCCCTGCACATTCCAACTTAGGATTTTGACCTTCATGCAGAATGAGATTGGTGAGACCTTCCCCTAACCTTTCTGTCACTGCCTTCTTGAAAACCCCAAGCCAGTTTCTTAAGTTCTGCTTCCCCTTTATTCTTCCCCTTTCTAGGGCTTGCTACTGCCTTAGCCTGTTGTTGTTGAAGCAGTAGTTGAGCCTTTCTTATCTCCTTCATCCTTAAAATGATATCCAAAATGTCATGTTCGAACCCTGCCGCATTTACACCAAAAGCTTTGCAAGCTTTTACCAATGCAATTTTGGAACACCTTGATGTTTCGACCTCTGTTGGTTTGTCCATCACTTGCATGGTAAGATCTAGTCGATCATGTCATGGAGAGAGAGAAAGTCATTGAAAGACTGAATAGAGAAGTCTGATTCCGAGTCACTTACCTTAGCTGATTATGAGAGTAAAAATAATTGCGAAGTGGGTGGCTCAACTTCATCTTCTGATCGAATTGGGTGTGAGATGTTTCACCTATTTCTTCTTTGTTCATGTGAGTGAAAGCTTAGATCTCCTAAGACAGAGGGTCGAAATAATTTTTAATCTCTGTCATATGACCCTTTAGAAGACATGGGTCATTATTATTCCTTAGCACCTTCCATGTATTACAGTTGTTGGGCCTTTTAAAATGTTTCTTCAGCTTTGGCACACTTGAATAGTACCCATTATAAAAGCCCAATGTTTTGGCTTTATGGGTCTTAATATTTGTAGTAGTTGTAACTGAACCTTTTAATTTTGCAACTGGCCCCTTCACATGTAAAATCCCAGGCTGATTTTTAAAGTTGGAGTTGGTCCCTATATTAGACATATCCTTGCTGACCTGCACAAGATTCGAGACCTCAGAGCCCACATGGTTCTCTGTTACCTTTTTTGTTAGCCTCACTGTTACAGAGGGTAATGTATTTGGACTGCTGGGTATTGGAGTTGGTTGGTTCTCCGCTATTATCGAGATTTCAAATCTCAAACCTCCCCAATCTGTTCTAACATTCTCCGGAAGTAGCTTGCCGGAGTTCCTGATGCAAATTCGAGCCCAGAAAAAATGCTTTATGCTCTTTGTATCTGCATCTACTCCAACATAGCCGCCGCACTGATCTCCAATTTGTTTGAAGATTTTGGATGTCCAAGCATGGATGGGGATTTCGAAAGTTTTCACCCATATAACTTCTGGGAGGCTATCAACAGAAATAGTTTCATAACACGACGTCCACCATTGTAAATGTAGATGTCGACCTCTCCAGAACCAATTCCCTGCACTGATTATAACAACCTCTTGTCTTGATGGGAACTCGAATAGGAAACGATTGTGGTCTATGGGGGTAACTTTAAGTCCTGCACTGATTTTCCATCTGCCAAGGAACTAATTCTGAATGGTTTCTATGCTTGGGCTATTGCTGAATGGGTCGTTGAAAGTTCCAATGAGACATCTAGAGAGTAGGTGTGTAACTTCTTCAACCTTCGAAGATGGTGGGATCAGAATGTCTGGCCAGCTCTCAATCTTTGCAGCTTCGAAATAGATGCTAAGTAATGGAGATGGTGGTCGTATAGGTCCATTACTGTTGTGGCTTCCTACAAATTGGAGGATTTTTTCAGCAATATCAACCTAACCACTATTATAATCTGCTTCTGGAATAATCACCGCTGATTTTCTTCTTCCTTGCCACACTTCTATTCTTATAAATCTGCCATAGATATTGTAATTCTGATAGACTCTGTGAAGATATTGTTGTTGTTTCCTCCCCTATTTTCTGTAAAGATCTCCTCTCCCCCTTGATGCTTGCTTCAAAGCGTCACATACCCATCGTAAATTATTCTCGTCGATGCTAATTTTGCTTGTGAAATGACTGCTTCTTTCGATGAGTGAATACCACCTAATCTGAGCATTCCCGATGTTGATGAGTTCAAAAGCTTTTTCCCCTGAAATGAAAAAAGTTTGTTCCCCCATAGAAAAATCCAATATTGCCTGAAGCAGGCCTTACCAGAAAAATTTTCAAAAGGAGAGAAAGAAAGGGCACATTTCCCAAACCAGCTATGATAGGTGGTAGGCAACATAAAGCTGAGACTTGAATATATTGCCATTAGAGGTATTCCAAACTAGAAGAGACAAATAGGGCGAAACAAAGGCAAATTAAAAGGCTGTACATTGATACTTATACATTAAGAGGATGAGACAATGAGAAATAGAGACTTTCTATCATCAGCTCAAAAGGTCAGAAACAAAGAACTTCGAAGAAAACTATGTTTTTGATAATATAGTTTAGTTAATTAATGATACAAGAATGAATTGAATAATATGGTGATCAACCTAAGTTTCTCCTGGTGGAGAGTACATAAAAACATGAACCTAAACAATCCTAATAGAACTTCCTAACTAGTAATGTTACAGAGGAAAATGGTTCACTCGCCTGTTATTTTTATACCCGAGGAAGATATCAGTATACAATTGATTTGATCAGAGAGTAATCAATTTTCTCTAATATGCTATTCTATACTCTCATATTACCATAAGCCCTCACACTTCTAAAAGGGAGTAACAACAACAACAATAACTCAGTATAATCCCACTAGTGAGGACTGAGGAGGTACGCGGACCTTACCCCAACCCTGGGATAGAGAGGTGGTTTCCGATAGACCCTCGGCTCCCTCCCTCCAAGAACTCCCCACCTTGCTCTTGAGGTGACTCGAACTCACAACCTCTTAGTTGAAAGTGGAGGGTGCTCACCACTAGAGCAACCCACTCTTGTCAAGAATACCATAAACTATGTTTTTGAAACATACTCCAAATGTGAACATTTTTAGACATTGGTCCAACCATGTACTAAGCAGTTCTCACTCGTCTTTTGTCCTAAAGGGAGGCAAACCAGAAACATAGATGCTTGTTTCCAAATTTCACTGAAGCAATATGCTTCTTTTTTTACAACTGAAAAGAAGGAATATTGGGTCAGTGACGCGGTACCTCCATCTTTTGAAGCGATTGTTAGTAATTGCACTTTTAGTTAACTAGTCGCTTGCACTACTATATCTTCCATATGCAAAAAGTTAAAAAAGAGGCTCAAAATATGTCATGGAGAAAGAGTGTTTAGAATGTATATAAAAAGCGAGGCACTGGCTTTCTGAAGGTCTCTTTCCTTCCATGGCTTCTTTCTTCTCTTGACAGCTAGAGCAAATGAAAGGACCGCAAATTAAATTTCTTGTTTTCTAGGAACTAGCATGTATTGAAAAGCCTTCTCCGGGTTTATCTCCGCTTGACAGACGACACATGTGGTTAACTTAAACATATTACAGACTGGATGTTCCGTGTTTAACATGCGATCATCGGGAAAAAGAAGTATCAATCCATAATTGTGCCACCATATTACCTGAAATAGATATTCTGCTTGCAATGAATGTAAGGGAATCGCGTCACAAGTTTTATAATGTGAAGTACTACTTAGCATGACACATGTCTGTCTGAAAAAGATGCATATCCTTCCTCAAATAGTTCTTCCACCATATCTGCTTCACAATAATCTTTCTCGATATTAGAAGATGAATCAGAAGTTTTTTTTGCGAAACATAGACTTACCCTGACTTTTTGGGTGGTGGGGGAGGAATTGGTTTTTCTGGGGGCTGTATGTCAATCACAATATAAGTCGTATCATCTCGAATGCCTTTTGGCTGAATGGCTTCCTGCATATTGGAAAGCAAAAGTAAAACTAGATAATAAGCAATTAAGTTGAGGAAATAACTTCATAACAACCAACTTAGACATCGATTAATGTCATACTTTTAACAATTTTAGAAGCTGCAGTATCAGCAGGCATTCCGCAACAACATTCAACAACCATTTCTGCAGACAAAGCATCCCAGACACCATCACTTGCTATTACAAGTCCTCCTCCAGCTGATGATAACTGTTGGAACAAAAATAATATTTGTATACGGTCGAAATAGATTTCGGCTTTTGTACGATTGATCGAATATTGGAGTGTGTGATAAGCATCTTATTCGAATTACCAAAAGATACGAGAGAGGTGCTCACCGTGATTTTTGGCCTCCCATCGGCCCTTTGACAAGTCACGCCATGAGCGCTCGGCATATAAGTAGGTCGAAACCAGATCACGTACCCAGCTCTTGAGACCGGGCACTGCGCCGGGCATCCAGGGAACCGCTGTATCACAAAAGGGGAATATTGGTGAGAAAATAAATGAAGGAACAAAATAATAGGAGATAACAATAGAATTACACTCACGCTTCAAGTTCCATTCCTCGGGAAAATGCATCTTTTCGGTGGGGATCAGGTCCGAAATCCTCACTCGAACGAACCGGCCCATCCAGTCTCGATCCTTATCCTCGTCTATACTCGAGAACAAAGCCTTGGTAGCTCGACGTTGGAGTTTTATTAACCCTCCTCGAAAAAGACGAGGACGGTATAATCGAACAAGATGATCGAGGGTGAAAGGCATCCCCTTGATTTTACTCACAAAATATTGGATCAAAATAACGATCCGCCAAAAGGAAGGATGTATCTGGCCTAGGGTTATTAGGTATTTACGACAAAAATCTATGATAACAGGATCGAGGGGACCTAATGTGAAAGGGTAAATATACACCCTTAAAAACCCTTTCACGTGAGTAGTAATATCCTCTTCAGGATACGACACTACCACCTCTTTGTTCTCCCAGTTACAATCTTTTTTTATCCGCTCGATGTGCTCCCAAGTTATCGAACAAATATATCTTGATACGGGCTCATATCGGCCAGGAAGCGGTGAACCTTTATCGAGTTTGAAATCAGAGGTAAGAACACACGCCGCCGGAACACACTCCTCAGGACGAGGATCCACCGGTGTTTTATCGGTGGCGGATTGGGAAGAAAAAGCTTGTTCTTTTGGGGGGACGGTTTTGGATGTCTTCACCATTTTGGATTTAAAGAAGGTCAGGAAGATTTGGTAATTTGGAAGAAAACTTTTACAAAGAGAAATCACTAATTTGTGAATAAACTCAGAGAATACGAAAAAGAAATTGGGAAATTTGGAAGACTGAAGATGTAAAAGTGATAAATGATAAAAGGAAGGGTTAGTTATAGGTTTATGCAATGGCGGTTCAGTATCAGCGGTGGCCGACCACTGTCTGACATGCATTAAATACCTTGAAAGACTAAATCGATGGGACAACTATCACATGCGTCATGGTCGAGCCCGATGTAAACGTTAGCTTATAGTCCGATCGAGCCGTTGAAAAATTATATCGTTTCTTACCACATTCTTCCTAAGAAACGAGGGGACTATCTGTATACAATCGAAATAGATTTCATCCTTCGTACAATTGATCGAGTTAGAAACATAATCGATCAAAGCGAGACTTTGAGACGGGTTCCGAAGATGGCACAAACAAGCTTCGAGTCTGAGGGGTCGATCAATGTCGAACTCGATATTGTTATCGAGCCCGAATCCAAATCGAACTATGATACAAAGTAAAGTTATGGAGCTTCTGATCCAGAGACCGACTAACATTGACCCCGAATCAATTCAAGGGTCCGAGTCAGAATCGAACTCAAGCCAAGATCGAGAGCTCGAGTCAAGACCGAAAACTCGAGTCAATATCGAGCTCATAGACAAGAACCGTTGCAATCCTACTAGAGGAAAGAATTTTGGCAGGAATTATGGAAAAACTGATTTATCATGGGTCTCCCACTATGTATTTTTAATTATATCTAAAGTAATATCCCTCTACTATAAAGGGCATGGTTATCATTTCTGTAAAGGAGAGTTTTTTGCTTACATTGTCATTCGAGCACCATATTCTCTTATAGTGAAAGGTTGTTCTTCCAAGCTTCTAAAATTGATTCCACTTGTTTAGTCCTAAAATTCATCTTCTTGGCAACCTTATCTATTTTGCATTCTTTGTAATCCCTACTTGATATTTCTATTTATCCTTACGTTTTGTATTAAGTTGCACCACGTATCCTTAGAACTACGTACAAATTCAACTCTATCCGTTTTTCGGGTAAACAGTTTGGCATCCACCGTGGGGCTAAGGATAACAGTGGTTATTTGATACGAATCTGCAAAAATTCACCGTTGTGTTTTGCGCTTGTTTTCAAAAATATCTTGGATTTCAGATTAGCAACAACTAACTACTAGTCAAATGGCCATACCAATCGACAACGAAGTCGGTCTTCAAGATGAGAACAATAATTTGACACCTAGTACCGAAAGACCACTTGTCAATGCCGTTGGATCTCGAATCAGAGCACCAATAGATATCAATTCGCATGTGGCCATTGAGGCGAACCTACATTCTGAACCCGAAAATAACATTCATGGTGACACTCGATTTGCAGCTCGAGATGCCCCTAACGTCGAGGAAAACTGCGTCAGCTTGCGTATGATTTTCGAAATGTTGCAAGCTCAATAGACAGCAATAGCTCAGTTGCAGAGCCAAACCCAGCTACAAAGCAGGCCAAAGACCAATCTGCATCGAGAAATCACCCACAGAACGGAGCCAACCATAGTGAAGTCAAATGAGCAAGAATCGAGGACTACTCCTGAAATTGCTAAATTGCTCGAGGAACTCACAAAGCGAGTCGAAGCCAACGATAAAAAGTAGAAACATATAACTCCCCCAAAAACCAATACCCAAAAAATTCCGTATGCCCGAATTTCCCAAATATAATGGAACGATCGATCCCAACGAGCACGCCACTTCTTACACATGTGCCATCAAGGGCAATGATTTAGAAGACGATAAAATCGAATCTTTGTTGTTAAAAACATTCGGAGAGACCCTCTCAAAGGGAGCAATGATTTGGTATCACAACCTACCACCAAATTTCATCGACTTATTCGCCATGTTAGTAGATTCTTTTGTGAAAGCACGTGCCTGCGCCATAAAATTCGCAACAAGGAAATCGGACCTCTTCAAGGTAAGACAAAAGGATAATGAGATGCTGAGGGAGTTCGTATCTCGTTTTCAAATGGAATGAATGGATCTGCCACCAGTCATAGACGATTGGGCTGTTCAGGCTTTCACCCAAGGTTTGAACGGACGAAGTTCGACGGCTTCATGGCGGTTAAAGCATAACCTGATCGAATACCCAGCCATCACATGGGCCGACGTGCACAATCAGTACCAATTAAAAATTAGGGTCGAAGATGATCAATTGGGGCCTAAACCCGATGTTCGAAGTGATATTAATCGAGAACAAGGTACGATCGGGGCTCGATACCGACCGTACAACGGAAACCGCAGAATCAGTGAATCGAGACATAACCCCGGGCAAAATAACAAAAGAATTAATCAAGGTCAAGGGTCCCGGGGGATGATGAACAGAACTAGGTTCGATAGGCTTGCCGGATCTAAGGAAGCGCCTCGATTATCGGAATATAACTTCAGCATTGATGCATCCGCCATCGTATCGGCTATCGAACGCATCAAAGACACTAAATGGGGTAGACCCATGCAGACCGATCCTGCCCAGAGGAATCCCAATCAAATGTGCGAATATCACGGCTCCCATGGCCACAGAACGGAAGATTGGAGGCAACTAAGAGAGGAAGTAGCCCGGTTATTCAACAAAGGGCACCTTCGAGAATTTTTAAGCGATAGGGTGAAGAACCATTTTAAAAACAGTAATTTCGGCAAGCAAAACGAACAAGAAGAACCATAGCACGTCATTCACATGATCATCGGTGGCGCCTATACCCCTCAGGGACCGGTGCTTAAATGCACTAAGACATCGATTATGAGAGAAAACGACCTCGAACTCAAGATTACACACCCATAGGAACTTTGTCCTTCAATGATGAAGATGCAGAAGGAGTCATACAACCCCATAACAATGCATTGGTAATATCCGTACTCATGAATAAAACTAAAGTTAAGCGTGTGTTGATTGATCTAGGTAGCTCGGCCAACATCATCAGATTGAAGGTCGTAGAACAACTCGGCCTGCAGGACCAGATTGTACCCGAAACGCTGGTTCTAAACGGATTCAATATGGCATGTGAAACCACCAAAGGCAAGATAATTCTACCGATAAATGTGACCGGGACCATCCAGGAAACGAAGTTCCTCGTGATCGAAGGCGGCATGAGATACAACGCCCTTTTCGGAAGGCCATGGATCCACAACATGAGAGCTGTACCTTCAACCCTACACCAGGTCTTTAAATTCCCAACATCGAGAGGAGTCAAAGCAGTGTACGGGGAACAACCAGCTGCAAGAGAAATGTTCGCCGTCAAGGAAGTGAAACCAATATCCTCGCTTTCGCTAGTAAAGGGGTCGGGTCAGAAGGGGAACGAGATACCAAATAGCAATCACAAACATCGTCTTTGACCCAACGAGATAACTGGAAGATCGAAGAAGATGATGATCAGATGATCCCCCGATCCTTTGCGGTTCCCGATGATTCTGATGCTACCAAATCAACGATTGAGGAATTGAAGCAAACCACACTAATCGAGCATTGGCCTGAACGAAAGGTATACCTAGGTTTATCTATCTGGAGCATTGGACCGTACGGCCATCAAGTCTCAAATTTTAGCACACTTCGTGGCCGATTTCACACCAACCCTCGTACCCGAAGTCGAAAAAGAACTCTTATTGAAATCGGGGACGTCATCGGGGGTATGGACCCTTTTTACGGACGAGGCTTCGAACGTGAAGGGGTCCGGGATAGACATAGTTTTAAAGCCACCCACAGGTAACACTATTAGGAAATCTATCAAAACTACCAGGTTGACTAACAACGAGGCGGAGTATGAGGCCATGATTGCAGGTCTCTAGCTAGCTAAAAGCCTGGGAGCAGAAGTCATTGAAGCCAAGTGTGACTCTTTGCTAGTGGTAAATCAAGTAAACAAAACCTTCGAAGTTCGAGAAGATAGAATGCAAAGGTATTTGGACAAAATAGATGTCAATTTACACCATTTCAAACAATGGACTTTACAACATATTCCACGAGAGCAAACAGTGAGGCTGATGCACTTGCGAATTTGGGATCATCGGTCGAGGAAGGTAAGTTGAGCTCGGGGAATGTCGTTCAAATCTCGAGATCTGTGATCGAAGATGGTCATGCCGAGATATATTCTACAAGCTTAACCTGGGATTGGAGAAATAAGTATATTGAATACTTAAAGAATGAAAAACTCCCATCAGACCCTATAGGTTCAAGGGCCCTACGAACCAAAGCTGCTCGATTCACTTTAGCTTCAGATGGAACGCTATATCGAAGGGCATACTGATTACATCCTACGTGAGGTGCACTAGGGCACTTGTGGGAATCACTCCGGTGCCTATTCATTAGTCTGAAAAATAATCAAGGTAGTGTATTATTGGATCGATATGGGCAAAGATGCAAAAGAGTTGTTCAAAAATGTGACAAATGTCAAAGGTTTGCACCAATGATCCATCAACCCGGAGAGCAACTTCACTCAGTCCTATCCCCATGGCCATTCATGAAATGGGGAATGGATATCGTCGGCCCTCTACCATCGACACCGGGTAAAGCTAAATTCATTTTATTTATGACTGACTATTTTTCTAAATTGGTTGAAGCATAGGCGTTCGAGAAAGTAAGAGAGAAATAGGTCATAGACTTTATCTGGGATCATATCGTATGTCGATTCGGGTATACCCGCCGAAATAGTGTGTGACAATGGGAAACAATTTGTCGGCAGCAAAGTGATGAAATTCTTCAAAGACCACAAAATAATAAGGATATTATCAACACCGTATCACCCCAGTAGGAACGAACAAACTGAATCAACGAACAAAACTATCATTCAAAACCTAAAGAAGAGGCTGAACTACGCTAAAGGAAAATAGAGAGAAATCCTACCCGAAGTCCTTTGGGCATATCGAACAATATCAAAATCTAGTACGGGGGCAACTCCGTTCTTATTAGTATATGGCTCCGAAGCCTTGATACTAATCGAAGTCGGCGAAACCAGTGCCAGATCTCGGTATTCGATAGAAGAATCAAATAACGAGGCTATGAACAGTAGCCTCGAATTATCAGACGAAAAACGAGAAGCTGCTCTCGTCCAATTGGCCGCCCAAAAGCAACGAATAGAAAGATACTATAATCGAAGAACCAAGCTTCGCCATTTTAAACTCGGGAACTTAGTGCTAAGGAAAGTCACCCTCAATACCCGAAATCCAAACAAAGGAAAACTAGAATCGAACTGGGAAGGACCATATAAGGTACTCGAAAACGTCGAAAAGGGATCATACAAGCTAGACATTATAAACGTCAAACAACTATCAAGCAATTGGAATGTGTCGCATCTAAAACGATACTACTGATAAGGTACGACCCTCCCATATTCGTTTACATTTCAAAACTAACCCTTACAGAAGTCCGATCAAGAGCTAAGATGGTTCCTTCAATACAAAGCCATAGGTCTGAAAGCACGCGTTGCACTCTTTTTCCCTTAGACCGGTTTTATCCCAAATAGGTTTTTCGGCAAGGGTTTTAATGAGGCAACCAATGATCGTGTTGTACTTGGAAATAATTCGACAGTATCTGAGGCCTCTTTACAATCGACCTCGAATACTGGAGGGCATTAACCCTCAAATATATCAAGTTCTGATGCAAGAAGGTTATTTCGCAACAACGGGGTTCCAATAGGAAAAGTTGTAAGAGCCAAATGGTCAACACAAACCATGCTCATGTAGTTGGCCCGAGACCTGACGCAAAATATGAATGCATGTATAATGACTTGCAAAGAAAGTTCTCCTCTTTACCGATATCTTATATCCAAGAAATATTCCTCTATTTTGAGATTTATTATGCAAACAAAATTAAGATAAATCTCCGAGTCCGAGTAAGCACTCGCTTGACTCTTACGCCTACGGGCTACATTATTTCGAGTTCGAATCATTCACTCGACTACTAAGCCTACGGGCTACTTTTATTTTGAGTCCGAGCAAGCACTCACTCGACTCTTATGCCTACGGGCTACATTATTTCGAGTTCGAATCATTCACTCGACTACTAAGCCTACGGGCTACTTTTATTTTGAGTCCGAGCAAGCACTCACTCGACTCTTATGCCTACGGGCTACATTATTTCGAGTTTGAATCATTCACTTGACAACTAAGCCTACGGCCTACTTTTATTTCGAGTCCGAGCAAGCACTCATTCGACCATTATGCCTATGGGCTACATTATTTTGAGTTCAAATCATTCACTCGACTACTAAGCCTACAACCTACGTTTATTTCGAGTCCGAGCAAGCACTCACTCGACCATTACGCCTACGGGCTACATTATTTCGAGTTTGAATCATTCACTCGACTACTAAGCCTACGTGTTACTTTTATTTCGAGTCCGAGCAAGAACTCACTCGACCATTACGCCTACAAGCTACATTATTTCGAGTTATCATTCACTCGACTACTAAGCCAATGGGTTACTTTTATTTCGAGTCTGAGCAAGCACTCACTCAACCATTATGCCTACGGGCTACATTATTTCGAGTTCGAATCATTCACTCGACTACTAAGCCTACAGGCTACTTGTATTTCGAGTCCGAGCAAGCACTCACTCGACCATTACGCCTACGGGCTACATTATTTTGAGTTCGAATCATTCACTTGACTACTAAGCCTACGAGATACTTTTATTTCGAGTTCGAGCAAGCACTCACTCGACCATTACGCCTATGGGTTGCATTATTTTGAGTTCGAATCATTCACTCGACTGCTAAGCCTACGGGCCACTCTTATTTCGAGTTCGAGCAAGCACTCACTAGACCATTACGCCTATAGGCCGTATTACTTCGAGTTTGAAACATTCACCCGACTACTAAGCCTACGGGCCACTTTTATTTCGAGTTCGATCAAGCACTCACTCGACCATTACGCCTACGAGCTATATTTCCTCGAGCTCAAATCACTGACTCAACTAATAAGCCTAAGGGCTACATCACTTCAAGTTTGAGTAAGCCAGTGTTCGGACAATCACTCAACTCGACCACTAAGTATATGAGCTACCTTATACCAAAGTTTGAGTAAGCGCTCTCTCGGTATAGAGGCTACGAAGTCCAAATTTGATTAAATTGCTTAAGTCCTTGTGAAAATATTCATAAGGTGTGAATAAAATCTTCACAAGACAGGAAACAAAACAGAAGCTAGTCGGCAAAAAAGGGATATTTTTATATAAAATTATTTACATGATTGATTACAACGTAAAAATTAAGGACTAAGCTTCCTGGTTATCCCCAGGAGAGGTCTCTTCTCTATCGGGCTCCCCCCATTCTCGGATCTACTCTTACTCCCATCGTCATCATCATTGTCATCATCATCGTCATCGGAAATCAAGGTTTCAGCATCAGCTTCGAGTTCTTTGGACCTTTTTATCTCTTCAGCGAGGTCAAAACCTCGAGCATGGATCTCCTCGACGGTCTCCCTCTGAGATCGGAACTTAGCAAGTTCAGCAGCCCAATGTGCTCGAGTATCGGCGGTCTTGGCTGCCTCTCTTGCTTGGACCTGGGCAACTTCAGCATCGGCCCGATAGACGGCCATGAGTGCATCCACATCGACCTTTGCCTTTTTGGCGTTAGATTCGGCCCTGGAAAGTACAGAGGCCAACCGAGCCTCGAGCTCCTCTATTCTTCTTGCTTGAACCGAGCTTTTCTCCTTTATTTTTTGAAGTTGGTTTTCGGCCGATGATAATTGGGCTCGAGCAATTTCTTTATCTGCAGTAAAGCGGTCCATTCCTTCTTTCCACTTCAAAGACTGCTATTATCACATCGACTTCTTCACGAAGTTTTCCGATCATCTCGATTTTCTGCTGCAGCAGTGAGACCGAAACATTAGCCATCGTTCCGGTATTAAGCCCATAGGCTTTTAAAAGCATTATTACCTGCTCGGATAGATCGATCTGATCTTGGTGAGCCCTGGCCAAATCAGCTTGGAGGTCTTTTATTTCCTCTCCCCTTTGGCCCAAAAGGAGTTTTAAGGAGTTCCTCTCTTTCGTAACCCGTTGAAGCTCGGCCACGTATCAACGCAGCATGGTTCGGGATCGAGAACACGATTCTCGATGAACTGCCGCGGCCTACAAAGAAAGAAGAAACGAAGTCAGAAAAAGCAAACTTAAAGGTAACGCCATATGATTTAAGGCCTACCTGATTCAAAGCTTGCTGCACTCCGTGAAAAAGATCCGATGCGTTACTTGTACCGGCAGTGTCTTCGACACCGATAAATAGGTCACGAAAAGGATCCTCTCCATAATGAGGCCTATCTAATTCGAGGGCCCCCAAATCTTGGGCTTCCTTAATTGCACCTGCGGAAAAAGCAGGGAAGGTGGGCGAGCCTTCGATTTCTACTGCCCCAAATGAGTCATATGGGGAATTCTCTTCTGTTCGAAAAGATTCGGGAAGAGTCCCTTCAGACATATCCCCCACCCATCAGCTTCGATGAGAAATATCTTTGATCTCCAGTAGCTCGGGGACTCTGCCCGAATCTCTCTCCGATATATCCTCAGTTCGAGGCAGAGCCTTGTGAACCACCATCGATACAACTGCCTGTGGAACGTCGATAGTCTTCTTTGTTCGGGCCGCCAGTGCAGACCCATCGTTCTCTTCTTCTTCTTCATCCCTCAGATGCAGAACTGATTCTACGGTCAAAAGAGTGGCATTCTTGTTCGGCTTACGAGCCGTCCTCTTCTTCGGTTTTTGATCTTCAAGGACGGGGGCTTTTTTCCTCTTATTATCTTTCACCGGCTTTGGGACAGAGGCCGAAGCCTCTTCTTCGACGGATGAGGGCCTCAATTCCACATCTTTGCCCACACCTGCATACGAAAAATTTTATTGGAGTGTGTGATAAGCATCTTATTCGAATTACCAAAAGATACGAGAGAGGTGCTCACCGTGATTTTTGGCCTCCCATCGGCCCTTTGACAAGTCACGCCATGAGCGCTCGGCATATAAGTAGGTCGAAACTAGATCACGTACCCAGCTCTTGAGACCGGGCACTGCGCCGGGCATCCAGGGAACCGCTGTATCACAAAAGGGGAATATTGGTGAGAAAATAAATGAAGGAACAAAATAATAGGAGATAACAATAGAATTACACTCACGCTTCAAGTTCCATTCCTCGGGAAAATGCATCTTTTTGGTGGGGATCAGGTCCGAAATCCTCACTCGAACGAACTGGCCCATCCAGTCTCGATCCTTATCCTCGTCTATACTCGAGAACAAAGCCTTGGTAGCTCGACGTTGGAGTTTTATTAACCCTCCTCGAAAAAGACGAGGACGGTATAATCGAACAAGATGATCGAGGGTGAAAGGCATCCCCTTGATTTTACTCACAAAATATCGGATCAAAATAACGATCCGCCAAAAGGAAGGATGTATCTGGCCTATGGTTATTAGGTATTTACGACAAAAATCTATGATAACAGGGTCGAGGGGACCTAATGTGAAAGGGTAAGTATACACCCTTAAAAACCCTTTCACGTGAGTAGTAATATCCTCTTCGGGAGACGACACTACCACCTCTTTGTTCTCCCAGTTACAATCTTTTTTTATCCGCTCGATGTGCTCCCGAGTTATCGAACAAATATATCTCGATACGGGCTCACATCGGCCAGGAACCGGTGAACCTTTATCGAGTTTGAAATCAGAGGTAAGAACACACGCCGCCGGAGCACACTCCTCAGGACGAGGATCCACCGGTGTTTTATCGGTGGCGGATTGGGAAGAAAAAGCTTTTTCTTTTGGGGGGACGGTTTTGGATGTCTTCACCATTTTGGATTTAAAGAAGGTGAGGAAGATTTGGTAATTTGGAAGAAAACTTTTACAAAGAGAAATCACTAATTTGTGAATAAACTCAGAGAATATGAAAAAGAAATTGGGAAATTTGGAAGACTGAAGATGTAAAAGTGATAAATGATAAAAGGAAGGGTTAGTTATAGGTTTATGCAATGGCGGTTCAGTATCAACGGTGGCCGACCACTGTCTGACATGCATTAAATACCTTGAAAGACTAAATCGATGAGACAACTATCACGTGCGTCATGGTCGAGCCCGATGTAAGCGTTAGCTTATAATCCGATCGAGCCGTTGAAAAATCATATCGTTTCTTACCACATTCTTCCTAAGAAACGAGGGGACTATCTGTAAACAATCGAAATAGATTTCGTCCTTCGTACAATTGATCGAGTTCGAAAGATAATCGATCGAAGGAGACTTCGAGACGGGTCCCGAAGATGGCACAAACAAGCTTCGAGTCCGAGGGGCCGATCAATGTCGAGCTCGATATTATTTTCAAGTCCGAATCCAAATCGAACTATGATACAAAGTAAAGTTATCGAGCTTGTGATCTAGAGACCGACCAACATTGACCCCGAATCAATTCAAGGGTCCGAGTCAGAATCAAGCTCAAGTCAAGATCGAGAGCTTGAGTCAAGACCGAAAACTCGAGTCAATATCGAGCTCATAGACAAGACCGTTGCAATCCCACTAAAGGAAAGAATCTTGGTAGGAATTGTGGAAAAGATGATTTATCATGGGTCTCCCACTATGTATTTTTAATTATATCTAAAGTAAGATCTACTATAAAGGGCATGGTTATCATTTCTGTAAGGGAGAGTTTTTTGCTTACATTGTAATTCGAGCACCATATTCTCCTATAGTGAAAAGTTGTTCTTCCAAGCTTCTAAAATTGATTCCACTTGTTTAGTGCTAAAATTCATCTTCTTGGCAACCTTATCTATTTTGCATTCTTTGTAATCCCTACTTGATATTTCTATTTATCCTTACCTTTTGTATTAAGTTGCACCACGTATCCTTAGAACTACGTACAAATTCAAGTCTATCTGTTTTTCGGATAAACAATATTAAAAGAAAGCTTGTGTTGCATTGAAACATTGAAAAATTCAGAGCCATTTAGAGGCTTTCATTCAAAGAAAAGAATTTCTTCACAATATTAGGAGATTTCAGAGGCTCTGGGAAGCCAGTAAGTCATTCTTTTAATTAAATATGTTTACAAATATTACCTAAAATTTTACTTGGTTGGTATTCAGCAATCATTAGATGAACAATTCCAGCTCCCTCTTCTCTCACTGTGAGTAATTGAAAATGAAAAGCATGACTAGACTATCACTCTAATGAAAAGCATGACATGACTAGACCCAATTTATGTGTCATATTAATTTTTTTTCTATCCTAAAAAAAAATAATATTATATTTCCTTATTTAGAAACAATTTAATTTTGAATTTTCCCTTTTACCTTTAATGACATAATTTATAACCACATAAATTTCTATGACTTGTTTTACACCACAAACATTAAAAATCTTTTTTTCTTCTTAAACTCCACTGTCATAAATTGGGGCGGATGGATGGAGTATAACTTCAATACAGAGGTTCAAAAAGATTTAGGGATAAATTGGATTTAGGAACTAGTATCCTTCCTAGCAACATCTGCACCTGTCATGACTAGATGGAATGCCTTTATTATTATTGCATTTCGTCCAATAGGAATTAAAAGCTAAGGATTGCCAAAATCAATAAGTCAAGGAAAAGAGTAGAGGAATCATGACAAGACTCCACCTCAACATGAAAGCAGAATCAACAAGGAGCCACAAGATTTCTAACTTTCACTTGATTTAGAGTAAAAGTTCAAGCTTAAAATTGTACTTTCATCTTATAAAGTTTGATGTTGCCATAACTATAAAATAGCGGGTGAGAAGTGGAACCTCCCTAACTGAATGCCTGAAGTTCCCAAGCTGCATATCAATTGTTGCAGATACACAAAACATATGAACATAGGTAGTGGAATCACCAACCGATGCAACTGTTACAACCCATCCTTCAATTATGACAAATGTGACTGTTGTCCCAGAAGTTTGTGCTGCAAGATTAACACAAATATATGTAAGAATATTACAGTATGCTAGACAAGATTCCACTACCTATGAAACATGAAGATTGTACCAATAAAAGTGCGACTAAATGAAAGAAAGAAGTGTCATAAGCTATCAAACAGCTGAATGAAGGCGTATATAACATGCTTCGGAGCATTATGAATGCATAGAAAACAGATGCCAAAGAAACAGAACAAGTACACAATGCCCGACCTAATCATTGAACTATACAATGTACTCTATCGTTAAATCATATACATTATCGAGGAAATTTTGTTAGGACTTTTGACGGCATACTAATATTAGCTTCCTTTGATGGGACAATGTTCCATGTTAACAAAGTTCAAGCAATTTTGCAACACAACAAGGACATCAAAATTGCTATTGCACTCTGGATAGTGCAGTTATTGACCCATTTTTCTACATTTCCAATTGCCATATCATGTTTGAAGATAAGAACATAGAAACATAGAAACTACAAATACCTCTTTCTTGAAAATCTTTATCTGTTTTGACAAATCCTGCAACCAAAGCCCTGGGCAATGCTGCAACCCATTCATCTCTGTTAAGCTCTGGGGGAATAACACTCAAGACATTCTGCAAGAGATTCTCTTTAGCATATATAACGGCAGCTGTCCCATTGGGCCCATCAAATAACTGCAAAAGATGTGAAAACACCACTTACATCAGCAATTACATAAGCAAGAAAAAGGGTAAGTGGGAATGTGGATTCAACAGTTTGTCATGAAAGTAATTTCCAGATTAAACATACAAAGTTTTCTGAAGAGTTGGTCAAATAAAAATTGTTTCTCTAATACTCACAAAAGTGTTCCTCAAATGATTTAACCAAACGCAAACGATGTCTTCTTATCTCCTCTCATCGCATAAAGAATATAAGCAAAAAGGTTGTTACACTGACATCAACAGCCAAAGAAGTCACTCTATCCTTGCCGATAATCCAAAAATAAAAATAAAATACACAGAAACAACAGAAAAAAGAGAAAAAGGACTTCTCCCTCTTGAGGTGACTAGTTTTCTCTAGCTTATCCATCAAAGAAGAGAAAGTAAAAGAAAATTAAAGGGAAAATACATTAGATGCACCAATTACTTGTCCGGAAAAATAAGTTTCCACTTAACCTTTACGGACGTCATAATAACTCCCTATCCTTGTCCAAAGTGAATTTAATAGCACCCTAAAAATACATCACCAAGCTTGTAGAGGGTTGTGTTCTACACGCTTCGCCATGTGTCAATTTATAATTTTTTTAGTTTTTCAATTATTTTTCGTTTTCTAATTCTTTTTTAGTCCCATCCCACGTGTCGCTGTCTTTTTTGAATATATGGTGGTCTCTGGCGGAGCTATCACCATTTTCGTCTCCAAACCCAACTTAAAGACTATTTTACCACTTAAAGACCACCAAACCCAACTTTAAAAAATTCAATAACATAATAGATTTCAATTATCTTAACATTTTCTTCTTGCAGAAGCTTTATGAGCAATTAAGATAAATAATTTCCGTCATGATCCTTCAAGCTCCATTGTGTAAATGAAAGAATTAGTTATACCGGAATCACAAATACCCAAATGAAGGGCCCGAATTAGAAGTAGTTTAATGAGCAACGACGACCTAGATCAGTTCAATTGAGGATATAAGCTAGCTAGGATAGAGAGAAAGGGCATAACATAATTCAGATAAATTTCTCTTTCTTCCTTCTCGATTCATCTGAACCTCGTGTTCCCTTCTCTCTTCTTCTTCTAAATTCTGATCCAACCCTCTCTTTTCTGTAGGTTTCCAGTCCCATGAAAAGTTACTAGTTTCTATTTCCTTTTTAGTAGAATTAGTTTGTAATTCAATTATTAATTTTCCATTTATATAAATAGAAAATCATCCCAAAATAATTGTTCTTCAATTAGTTTATTAAAATTCTTAACTCGATAATCAGAACTTGAAAATTGGTATCAGAGCCTCGATTCTGCGACCACAATATTGAGCAATGGCAGAGGGTACTAGATTGAAACTTATGGATGACAGGCTAGCTAAGCATGATGAAATATTAGAGGGCTTAACTAATGGACAACAAGCTCTGGGTGAAACTCAACTGGGTATTCAAGGAACACTGGAGCTGATACTCGAACGACTGGATAACATGGAGAGAAGGCTTGATCGAGAACAGGAGGCAGGTCGAGGTGATGAGATCTTACCCATGCCAGAAATGAGAAAAATCAGACCACAAGATGGAAACTTCCGAGTTTCGAAGGTTAGGATCCAAATGTATGGATTAGAAAATATGAAAGGTATTTTAATTTGTATAGAGTACCTGATAATCAAAAGGTGGAAGGAGCTGCACTTTATTTGAATAGTGGTGCTGAGATTTGTATAACTCCTTAGTATTGAGTAAATGAGTAGTTACTTGGGCCAAATTTAAACTTGAAATATACAATAGATTTGGGGATTTAGACATGGATGATGTAGTGGAGGAATTTAACAAGCTCTCACAACTGGGAAGTGTGGATGAGTTTTTGAGTAGGTTCGAAGATTTGAAAGCTCAAATGATAATGAGAAATCCTGCTCTAAATGAAGACCACTTCCTATCGAGTTTTGTTGGTGCTCTCAAGGAGGAAATCAGATTCTCTGTTAAACTGTTTAAGCCATGAACTCTTAGCTTTGCTATTCAACAAGCAAGGATACAAGAGAAAGTCATTGAGGCAGCCCAGAAGAAGCAGAAACAGTTGTACAAGAGCAGTGCAATTTCTGGCAGTTTAGGAGTAACTAGAAATGCAGCAGCAACCAGTTTCAAGCCAACTACCTTCAAACTCAGTCCTGAAGTGTATGAATATAGGAAGAATGATAACTAATGCTCTAAATATGGCCCTGGGCATGAATGCAAAACCAAGCAACTCTAGTGCATAATAGGTGAAAGTGAATCAACATCCTTAGAGTTAGCATCTGAACATGAGTTTATTGAAGGTGATATCGAGGCTAATGTTTTATACATCAATGCCACATAGGGGGAGGGGGAGATAATTTGTGTGGTATCTAATTTTCGCGTGTACTGACTACAGAAGGACCTGGTTCTTCTAAGTGTTCCTTAACCTACTATTGCTAAAATAGTAAATGCGAAAAGTAAAGAACACAAGTATTTTTACGTGAAAAATACCCAACTCAAAAGGTAAAAAAATTACGACCTACTACTCAGTAGGATTTTTCCCCAATACTTCACTAAATCAATGAGCCAAAACAGCATTTACAAAACTTTTTATAAACCTAAGGATTAACTCTAATCCCGTTGTGGCAACCAGCCTCTAAATGTTACGACAACTTCAAGTTAACTCTAACTTGAATACCCAGAGTACCTATTACAATTGCCTCTAGATAAAGCTGAAAGGTACAAATTGACAACCACCTACTACAATTGAACTAGAATAAAAGACAGCCACTTGGAACTGGTTCTTCTATCTGGTTCATGTAGCTTCAGGTTCGCACACTTGAATTACAAGAATTATTTGTAAAATGCCTTGCTATTTTGTCTCAACTCATGTTTAACTTCTGCTTTTGTGCGTAACCGTAAAATGAGAACATCTTGCAATATATAGAGTTAGTAGAATGGGAAATAACTAGAGTTCTAATGCTACTCTTCCTTGGTGGAAGAGTTCTAGTTATCCTCAACTTCTAACTCCTCCCTTATCTTGGATAGTGTTCTCTTTGAGTAAGGAGTCCTTCTCCTTATCAATTATGCAACCTTTTTGATCAGGAGATATCAGATATAATAAGTTAAGCTTATCTCCTTCACGTGCATTCCTCATGCTCAAATCTGCCAGTGTTTGTGTACACAGGAGATGGACATGGTTCATGCCTGAGCTTCCTTTGTCAATCTTCAAAATAAAACTTCACTTGGGCCAATAAATTTCCCCTTTTTGATGATGACAAACTCTGTGCTTTTCATAAGCTTAGGCCCTGTTTTGACTCAGCTCAACATCAACACAATGTTAGAACATTTTACCTTTTTATCACTTATCATCAAGGACCAAGTTCATTAGGTTATAAACATCACTTTTCAAAGTATAAGCACAACCTTTTTCCCCCTTTGGCATCATCGAAAAGTTGCATAAATATGGAAGATAACCATATTTTAAAAAATTACTCATGGCCACTGGGGCTACTTCAAATGGAATCATGGATTAATCATCATATATCAATCTAAGGATATTAGCCATCTAAGAAATAGAAACAAACATTTAGAGCAAAAAACAATGAATTTAAGTGATTGATAAGATCCTACCACAAAATATAAGAAGAAATAAAAATATTTGATAATGAGCAAAAGAAGCAAAAAATCCCAAACTGGGTGACTGGTTGATCTACACTAGGCTAGGAGGCTTAAGGTTAGGAAGGACCAGGTTCTTGGTTTTTGGCTTGGAGTAGTTGCAGCATATCCTAAAGAATGACATCATTCTTCTCTTTTTCCTTTGCCAGCTCAATTCTGAGAGCATTTCTCTTAGTCTCCACTTCTGCCAACCTCTTCTTTAGCCTATTAATCTCAGCATCCTTAGCCCCACTTTCTTGCACCAAGGCTCACACTTTGCATTCACTGGTACCTTTTTGGATGAACCAGGTTCTTTAGGAGTGGTTTGGACTTCATAGTCACAAGCAGTCAGAGTATTTCCCCCAAAATAATCCTTGTTTGTACCAACCTCTCATTTCCTGATGGGTAACTTTAAGTGCACAAGTACAACCGTGAGAAGTATGCCATAGGGTATGTCATGAGTCTTGGTACCATTTAGAACCCTGTCAAGAAGCTAGATTATAAACCTAGGCCAGTTGATTTGCCTCCCACTATCCAAACATTCCATAAGGTCCAGGTCCATGAATGTGGCAATGTGCCTCCTTTACTGCCTAGGCAACACATATTTGTTTACAAATTCGAACAACACTTTGTGGGGTGGCTTCATCTCACTTTTGTAAATAGTATCGGGCTCAAGTTCCTTTTCATTGTCACCAAATTTCCTAGTAATGGCAAGGGCAGTAGGGAGATTCTCTAGACTTGGTCTATCTCATCAATTTCAACAGCCTCAACAGGCTCACTCACCTTCTTCTTTCCCTTAGCAACAACTTTTCTTTTACTTTCTTCGAAGGCTTTCTCCAGTTCAGCCTCACTTAGCTTCTTCTGACTTATTGTGGCTCTTCCTCTTGTGGGAGGAATTTTAACATGGATAGAAGAGGCAGTCTTCCTTTTCATGTTTGCCCTAGCAGTGCCAGGGGTGTTAGCTCCTGAACTTCTTTTCTTCTTTGGATTGTAACTTGCAGTCATCCTTTTCAGTAGGTCTGCGAGAGTTTCCTGTTCAGATGGAACAGGTTCATCTATATTTTTCCCAAGCTGAACCAGCCCCTCAGTAGCTTCTCCAGACCTACTTCCCCTAGTTTTTCTCACACCCTCCTCTATTGTAGCACATTCCTCACCCCAAACAACCATTGCACCTGATTCTTTAGTTAGACTAATAGGAATGGGTGAAGAACCAACCACTCATTTTCCCTTTCCCCTCACAGTACTCCGAGCACCCTCACTCTCTTTTTCTTTTCCTTTTTTATTTTTACTACCAACCCTTCCAGACTCAGTAGTTTTAACACCTGCCATAGATCCTACCAGCACAAACATATTCTACAAATTCTTAGCAACCTCAGAAATAGTTTCAGGAGTAACTTTAGGGCCAGATGATACCTATTCAGTCTAAGAAGAAACCGTTTATTCCCCCTCAGTAGAAGATTTAAATGAGTCTTCAGATTTTTAAGGTTCCTGGACCTGGCTATCCTTCAATTATTTATCTAATTTCTTAGATAATGCGCTCCCAGCCACAGTCTTGTGAGCAAGCATCTTAGTTCTTCCTTTCTTAGACATAGGTATGGTTGAATGTGTGATAGATGGTGTGGGTGTGATTTCCTTGGGTGGGGATGAAGGCTTTTCAAAAGGGTTTGTCATTTCTGAGTTTGGGAGCTTTAAAAAACGAGTTTGTGTGATAGTAGAAGAGGGGAGAAGTTTGAGAGAATTTGGACGACTTGAAAGTTTAGAAGTGGAGAAATAAATTACTCCTAATCAATATAAAGTGGAGGAGTTCACTTGACTAACAATAGCTTTTGCATAAGTCTAA